AGAATCACTTTGCATAAAGCAGGGCCAAGATTACCAAGTAACTTATACACTTGAGGGGTTCAAGATACATTCAGGAGAGTTTAGTTCAACCTTCGCATCTAAGGAAGGCTGCACTGCCTGCCCTGTTTCCGTTTGGTAGGAAGAGGTCAGTGCAGTTCATGCTCCCATTACTGTAAAGAAGATTGCTGGTGTCTGATAGGGGAGGGCAGGGAAAAAGAAACTCGTATTTTAATAGTTATGGAGAAGCTCACTGTTCTCCCATTGCTCTTAAATCTTTTCCGTTATAAACAACAAAAATGGGTGAATGTTTTCTTCAAGTCTGGGTCTTTCTGCCCATGGGTGTGTGTGCTGGTAGCAGGTGAATAGATTGTGCTTTAAAGGCATATTCTCAAGATGCGGGTTTGATATGTCCAGAGCATCTTCTCTGAAAATACATTTCAGAGAAAGAGGAGGAAAAGAAAAAAATCACTTTTTCTCAGGCAAGCATATTTCAGATTAAGCGTGGTGTCCATTCTGCCTTTGGCAATGCCATCTGTTCAGAACTTGCAAATTTTTACTTCTCTGCTTGTGCTGTTGATCCCTAATGAGTTCGTTTCAACTATATTTTTGTCGTTTTTATGATAGGCAAGGGGTTCTGAAAAAAAATATTTTCTCTATATGCCATAACATTCTATACATTTTCTTCATCTTGGATTCTTGTATGCCATGTAGAATTCTTACTACAAATTTATGACCTGCAATATTTAAAATGTTCCCATTGTAGCTGTTAAACGTGAGAAGGTGTAAATACTCATTATTTCTACTGGGGAAACACAATTGTCTTTGGATATTAGTGAAAAGTGAAACATATCCTGTTGGGGTTTTATCTGTGTGCTCTATTATTTCCAGGCAGAACAGGATTTAGAAAATGCTCATTTAAACAGAAAGGCATTTATTACCCAGAAAGTTCTGGAAAAACTATTAGGAGATACTTGCCCTCCAGGGTGCTAAAGAAAGACTACTTAAAATTACTGTTAAAAATTACAGCACAGGGAAGTTATCTGCATCTTTGACTTTGCATAAAACTGATGTTTCTTTATAATTAAATTTAGGCCAAGTGTGGTGTCTCAGGCTTGTAATCCCAGCACTTTGGGAGGCCGAGGCAGGCAGATCACATGAGGTCAGGAGTTCGAGGCTAGACTGGCCAACATGGTGAAACCTCGTCTCTATGGAAAAAACAAACAAACAAAAATTAGCCAGGTGTGTTGCACGCATCTGTAATCCCAGCTACTTGGGAGGTTGAGGCAGGAGAATTGCTTGAACTCAGGAGGTAGAGGTTGCAGTGAGACGAGATTGCAGATTGCACCTCTGCACTCCAGCCTGGGTGACAGAGCGAGACTCCATCTCTTAAAAAAAAAAAAAAAAGAAAAACAAATATATGTACATACATATAATTAAATTTGGATTACAATTTACTTTTCTGAGAGGTGAGAAATACCACAGCAGTGATGTTGTGGCCTGTGTCCATCAGTACATAATACAAATGTGTCCTAATAAAGTTGATAACAATGTTATTCACTTGGTTCAAGATCTCAATGACATTTTTTCCACTATTAATTATTATTCTCTTAATTATTAAGTACACTTAGGAGATTTCCTAGCTGAAGTGCATAAACCATCACATTTAATCTGGAAGTTGTCCTTTCTTTTTTGATGACTTTTGCATATATTTGTCTTTTAAAAATGAAGGCTCTTATGTTTATTTACAGATGAGAGAAACTGGGAAAAACTCAGACTCTGCCACTTACTGGATGTTTGACAAAATACTCTTAGTAGGCTAGAAACATTGGTGAGCTTGCTAAAAATTCAGAAATTCAGACTTTATCCCAAATCTCCTGAAACAAAATCTGCACAAGATCTTTAGTTTGTTGCACATATTAAGACTTGAGAGGTACCTTCCAAGTCATCATGACTGTTCTATTTGAGAAATACACACCACTTATTCTGTGTGACGTAAATATAGCACTCAAAAATAGATATGTCCAGCAGGTGAGGTGGCTCATGCCTGCCATCCCAGCACTTTGGGAGGCCAAGGTGGGTGGATCACCTGAGGTCAGGAGTTCAAGACCTGCCTGGCCAACATGGAGAAACCCCATCTCTAGTAAAATTACAAAAATTAGCCAGGCATGGTGGCTTACGCCTGTAGTCTCAGCTACTTGGGAGGCTGAGGCAGGAGAATCGATTGAACCCAGGAGGTGGAGGTTGCACTGAGCCAAGATCATGCCACTGCACTCCAGCCTGGGCAACAGAGTGTGACTTGGTCTCAAAAAAAAGAAGAAAAGAAAAATAGAAAAAAAAGACATGTCTATGTTGATGCCCTTAATTTTATAATTTATCATCCAGAAAAGTATCACATCTACAGTTGTATTGTGGATCTTATGCTATTCTCTTTTCTCAGAGTTAGAGAATACTTCAGTGTTAAAAATTATCTTGTTGAATAATTTTAGTCACTCTTGTAACTGAAAACCACTTCTTTTTACTCTCTTAAGTCAAATACAAGTCTCTGCCTACAGATACATGGTAACTGTTTGTGTGTTCATGAGTGTTTTTGTTTGTTTGTTTCATTTTGTTTTTTCAGGGATTGTTGACATTCAGAGACATAGCTATAGAATTCTATCTGGAGGAATGGCAATGCCTGGATCATGCTCAGCAGAATTTATATAGAGATGTGATGTTAGAGAACTACAGAAACCTGGTCTTCCTGGGTGAGGAAAACTTCAATACACAATTCCTAATATATTGCCTTTCTCTCTTTTCTAAGATAATTTTGGTAATTTCTGCTTTGCATGAATATATTTTAGCTCTCCGATTTTAAGAAAATCTTGGGAATTCATTGGTGTAGAACAAATTCTTCACGATGTTTTATCTTGACCTGAACTTTTCCCTTTCCTGAGCTTATGTATCTTTTGCTCTAGGTTAGTGGCAATTCCAAAAATGTCATGGCGTAAAATAGCGTTTCCCATACCTTAGAATTCAGTTGCCACCACCAATGTTTAATTCAGTAATACTGAGTAGTGAGATTAAGGACCCACAATTTTAAAATATTTTGTAAATATGTAGAAAGTTCTGTTATGAATCAATATTAATTTTCTAGAATTTTCTATTATATCCTCTTTACTAAGCATAATACTAGGTTGGTAGTTAAAGAATTCAGCAAGATTTATGTTACGTTTTTTTCTTAATAAAACAGGTATTGCTGACTCTAAGCCAGACTTGATCACCTGTCTGGAGCAAAATAAAGAGTCTTGGAATATAAAGAGAAATGAGATGGTAGCCAAACAGCCAGGTAGGTGAGAGCGAATGAAGCAGATGACGCAGATGAGAGGTACACAAATCAAGGAGGCAGCCAGCCCTTAAAATGTGGTCTGGGGAACTGTGCTTTGATGGAAAGAGTTTCTGAGAAGCTCAAGTCACTTTTTTCTTTTGCTCTCACACAGGGACACCTTCTGCCCCATGCTGTTAAATTCTCCAAGGATTCTGCTTTCTCTTCAATAATCTTTTTTCAAGTTCACAGTGTGAGCCAAAGTTTTCTTTATGGCTTATCAGGGACTGAAAAAACTGACTGCTTTGCCATTGCTTTTGGGGACACATTAATATCTGTGTATTTTTGAGAAACTCTATGTTAAACAGTTTAAAAAAAATTTTTTTGTATCGTGTCTAAAATGTGTGAGAATAGTAATTTCTGTTTCATTGGTGGTTGTCCACTTTTCTACACAGACCATTCTGGTTTTTAATTACCATAGCCTTGAAATATAGTTTAAAGTTTTTTACAAAATTTTTTTTCATTTTTTAATTGTTATATATGTATGTATGTATTTATTTAGAGGCTGGGTTGTAATACTTGCTGTGGGGGGATATGCAAGCAGGGTATTGTTTATGTCTTCATTTTGCTGTGTTGTATGTTTTAGATATAGATTCATAAATGGTATTTCTGTATTATATGATAATTTCATTTTTAATTATTTGAAGAACATTTATGATATTTTTATGATGGCGGCATCTCTTTTCTCATCAACAACTTACATAGGTTTCAATTTCTTTATATTATCAACATAGTTGGTGTTTTAAAAAAATTTCTAGTGGCCATTGTAATTGGTGTAAGGTAATTTTGTTTTGTATTGTGACTTTGTTTTGCATTTTTCTGTAAATTATTAATTTTGTGCAACCTTTCAAGTGCTTCTTCCCATTTGTGTGTGTGTGTGTCCTTTAAGTTCTAGGGTACATGTGCACAATGTGCAGGTTTGTTACATATGTATACATGTGCCATGTTGATTTGCTGCACCCATTAACTCGTCATTTACATTAGCTATTTCTCCTAATGCTATCCCTCCCCCATTCCCCCACCCCACGACAGGCCTTGGTGTGTGATGTTCCCTGCCCTGTGTCCAAGTTCTCACTGTTCAGTTACCACCTGTGAATGAGAACACGTGGTGTTTGGTTTTCTGGCATTCTGATAGTTTGCTCAGAGTGACGGTTTCCAGCTTCATCTGTGTCCGTACAAAATACATGAACTCATCCTTTTTTATGGCTGCATAGTATTCCATGGTGTATATGTGCCACATTTTCTTAATCCAGTCTATCCTTTATGGACATTTCGGTTGGTTCCAAGTCTTTACTATTGTGAATAGTGCCGCAATAAACATACGTGTGCATGTGTCTTTATAGTAGCATGATTTATAATCCTTTGGGTATATCTCCAGTAATGGGATGGCTGGGTCAAATGGCATTTCTAGTTCTAGATCCTTGAGGAGTCACCACACTGTCTTCCACAATGGTTGAACTAGTTTACAGTCCCACCAACAGTGTAAGAGTGTTCCTATTTCTCCACATCCTCTCCAGCACCTGTTGTTTCCTGTTTTAATGATCGCCATTCTAACTGGTGTGAGATGGTATCTCATTGTGGTTTTGATTTGCATTTCTTTAATGACCAGTGATGATGAGCATTTTTTCATGTGTCTGTTGGCTGCATAAATAAATGCCTTCTTTTGAGAAGTGTCCATTCATACCCTTTGCCCAGTTTTTGATGGGGTTGATTTTTTTCTTGCAAGTTTGTTTAAGTTCTTTGTAGATTCTGGATATTAGCCCTTTGTCAGATGGGTAAATTGCAAAAATTTTCTCCCATTCTGTAGGTTGCCTGTTCACCCTGATGGTAGTTTCCTTTGTTGTGCAGAAGCTCTTTAGTTTAATTAGATCCCATTTGTCCATTTTGGCTTTTGTTGCTATTGCTTTTGGTGTTTTAGTCATGAAGTCCTTGCCCATGCCTATGTCCTGTATGGTATTGCCTAGGTTTTCTTCTAGGGTTTTTATGGTTTTAGATCTAACATTTAAGTCTTTAATCCATCTTGAATGAATGTTTGTATCAGGTGTAAGGAAGCGATCCAGTTTCAGCTTTCTACTTATGGCTAGCCAGTTTTCCCAGCACCATTTATTAAATAGGGAATCCTTTCCCCATTTGTTGTTTCTTTCAGGTTTGTCAAAGATCAGATGGTTGTAGATGTGTGGTGTTATTTTTGAGGGCTCTGTTCTGTTCCGTTGGTCTATATCTCTGTTTTGGTACCAGTACCATGCTGTTTTGGTTACTGTAGCCTTGTGGTATGGTATAGTATAGTATAGTATAATATAGTATAGTATAGTATAGTATAGTAAAAGGTAGTATAGTATAGGTAGCGTGATGCCTCCAGGTTTGCTCTTTTTGCTTAGGATTGTCTTGGCAATGCAGGCTCTTTTTTGGTTCCATATGAACTTTAGTTTTTTCCAATTCTGTGAAGAAAGTCATTGGTAGCTTGATGGGAGTGGCATTGAATCTATAAATTACCTTGGGCAGTACAGTATGGCCATTTTCACAGTATTGATTCTTCCTATCCATGAGCATGGAATGTTCTTCCATTTGTTTGTGTCCTCTTTGATTTCGTTTAGCAGTGGTTTGCGGTTCTCCTTAAAGAGGTACTTCACGTCCCTTGTAAGTTGGATTCCTAGGTATTTTATTGTTTGTAGCAATTGTGAATGAGAGTTCACTCATGATTTAGCTCTCTGTTTGTCTATTATTGGTGTATAAGAATGCTTGTGATTTTTGCACATTGATTTTGTATCCTGAGACTTTGCTGAAGTTGCTTATCAGCTTAAGGAGATTTTGGGCTGAGACAATGGGGTTTTCTAAATATACAATCATGTCATCTGCAAACAGGGACTATTTGACTTCCTTTTTTCCTAATTGAATACCATTTATTTATTTTTCTTGCCTGATTGCCCTGGCTAGAACTTCCAACAGTATGTTGAATAGGAGTGGTGAGAGGGCATCCCTGGCTTGTGCTAGTTTTCAAAGGGAATGCTTCCAGTTTTTGCCCATTCAGTATGATACTCGCTGTGGGTTTGTCATAAATAACTCTTATTATTTTGAGATATGTTCCATCAATACCTAGTTTATTGAGAGTTTTTAGCATGAAGTGCTGTTGAATTTTGTCGAAAGCCTTTTCTGCATCTATTGAGATAATGACGTGGTTTTGTCTTTGGTTCTGTTTATGTGATGCATTAAGTTTTTTTTGTGTGTGTATGTTCAACCAGCTTTGCATCCCAGGGATGAAGCCCACTTGATCATGGTGAATAAGCTTTTTGATGTGCTGCTGGATTCGGTTTGCCAGTATTTTATTGAGGATTTTGCATCGATGTTCATCAGGGATATTGGTCTAAAATTCTTTTTTGTTGTATCTCTGCCAGGCTTTGGTATCAGGATGATGTTGGCCTCATAAAATGAGTTAGGGTGGATTCCCTCTTTTTCTATTGGTTGGAATAGTTTCAGGAGGAATGGTACCAGCTCCTCTTTATACCTCTGGTAGAATTTGGCTGTGAAACTGTCTGGTCCTGGACTTTTATTGGTTGGTAGGCTTTTAATTATTGCCTCAATTTCAGAGTCTGTTATTGGTCTATTCAGGGATTCAACTTCTTACTGGTTTAGTCTTCGGAAGGTGTATGTGTCCAGGAATTTATCCATTTCTTCTAGATTTTCTAGTTTATTTGCGTAGAGGTGTTTGTGGTATTCTCTGATGGCAGTTTGTATTTCTGTGGGGTCAGTGGTGATACCCCCTTTATCATTTTTCATTCTGTCTATTTGATTCTTCTCTCTTTTCTTCTTTATTAGTCTTTCTAGCGGTCTATCAATTTTGGTGATCTTTTCAAAAAATCAGCTTCTGGATTCATTGATGTTTTGAACCCTTTTTTTGTATCTCTATCTCCTTCAGTTCTGCTTTGATCTTAGCTATTTCTTGCCTTCTGCTAGCTTTTAAATTTGTCTTCTCTTGCTTCTCTAGTTCTTTTCATTGTGATGTTAGGGTGTCGATTTTAGATCTTTCCTGCTTCCTCTTGTGAGCATTTAGTGCTACAAATTTCCCTCTACACACTGCTTTAAATGTGTCCCAGAGATTCTGGTACATTGTGTCTTTGTTCTCATTGGTTTCAAACAACATATTTATTTCTGCCTTCATTTCATTATGTACCCAGTAGTCATTCAGGAGCAAGTTGTTCAGTTTCCATGTACTTGTGTGATTTTGAGTGAGTTTCTTAATCCTGAGTTCTAATTTGATTGCACTGTGGTCTGAGAGACAGTTTGTTGTGATTTCTGTTCTTTTACATTTGCTGAGGAGTGCTTTACTTCCAACTATGTGGTCAATTTTGGAATAAGTGTGCTGTGATGCTAAGAAGAATGTCTATTCTATTGATTTGGCTTGGAGAGTTCTGTAGATGTCTATTAGGTCTGCTTGGTGCAGAGCTGAGTTCAAGTCCTGGATATTCTTGTTAACCTTCTGTCTTGTTGATCTGTCTAATGTTGACAGTGGGGTGTTAAAGTCTCCCAATATTATTGTGTGGGAGTCTAAGTCTCTTTGTATGTCTCTAAGGACTTGCTTTATGAATCTGGGTGCTCCTGTTTTGGTTGCATATATATTTAGGATAGTTAGCTCTTCTTATTGCATTGATCCCTTTACCATTATGTAATGGCCTTCTTTGTCTCTTTTGATCTTTGTTGGTTCAAAGTCTGCTTTATCAGACACTAGGATTGCAACCCCTGTTTTTTTTTTGCTTTGCATTTGCTTGGTAGATCTTCCTCCATCCCTTTATTTTGAGCCTGTGTGTGTCTCTGCATGTGAAGTGGGTCTCCTGAATACAGCACACTGATGGGTCTTGACTCTTTATCCAATTTGCCAGTCTGTGTCTTTTAATTGGGGCATTTAGCTAATTTACACTTAAGGTTAATATTGTTAGGTGTGATTTTGATTCTGTCATTATGATGTTACCTGGTTATTTTGCCCGTTAGTTGATGCAGTTTCTTCCTAGCATCAATGATCTTTACAATTTGACATGTTTTTGCAGTGACTGGTACCGGTTGTTCCTTTCCATGTTTAGTGCTTCCTTCAGGAGCTTTTGTAAGGCAGGCCTGGTGGTGACAAAATCTCTCAGCATTCGCTTGTCTCTAAAGGATTTTATTTCT